CAGGTGCATAAGGCCATTAAGAATGCACATTTCCAGAAGAATATAGTACAAAGGTATGGAAGTAATGTTAAATATATATAAAATCTTTGTTAGACAATTTTTGGAGTACTGTGTGCAACTCTGATCGCTATATTTCAGGAAGGATATGGTAGTATTCAAGAGAGTACAGCATAGATTAACATGGATGTTACCAGGGATGAATGGATATTGCTACTGAGATATATTGGAGTAGTTGGAGCTTTTATCTCTGGAGGTTTCCACATGTTAGTGAGTTTAAAACGAGAGGGAATAGATATAAGATGGTTAGTAGCAGATCTAAAAAGGAGTTTAAAGGGAACTTCTATATGCAGAGTAGTGAAAACGTGGAACTTGTTGCTGGAAACTATAGTTGAAGCAAAAAAATACAACATATTTAAGAAGACACTTAATGCATACATGGGTGAGAAGAGTATTGGAGAAGAGAACAGAGCTTGTGTGGAGTATAAACACTGTTATAGTGTTTATAGCCTGCTGACAGCCTGTTTCTGTACTGCGTAATTCAATGTAATTCTATGCTACCAAGTGAGCCAAGCTGACGCAATGTAGCAGCAGCGTGCTGAGTGATGGATATGCTGGTGGATTGGAGTAGTTTTATCTTGATAGCCATCTAAATTCAGAGCTACTTTGGAAATAGCAGGGGCCATCACAAATTAGTATGCTGTCTGCCATTCTTGGCATATTGTGTGCCATTCTTTCAGGCAATTTGTAATGGATGCACTTGCTCCAATGATTCTTCTCCAGTTCTCCTCACTAGGAGCACTCATCATGAGCATTGTTTGCTGGGTCTTCAAGATAAGGTCTTATTCTCTCAGTTTTCTTCCCTTCTGTATTCCATCTTCTCTTCCCAAATATGGAAATGATTCAAGTACAGCATTGTACAGCTGCTTCACCTGACACCAACAATGATATAGATCAATACAAATAGCGTATGAAAAGATAAATAATAAATCATCCTTTAAAAGGACACATCAACGTATTTCACAGGGTACATAGTAAAGTGTAGCGACTGCACTATGTAGACAAAACCATGTTATCAGTATCCAAACTAGACTGAAAGCTCCACATATGAATGCCATGAAAAGAATACACACTGTATCCATGGAGGGATGCAGCCTGCTTGTCTAATTGCGAAGAGTATTAGATACAGGCTATCGAGAACTTAGCTATCGAGAACTTATGTTTAGGAACCTGAGTGTGTGTTGGCATACTGTTGTAGTTTAATTAGCTAAACCTTATAGCTTTCCTTTGAGATTGCTTTCTGGCAAGCTTCCCAGTGCTACAGCAGGTAGGACAAGTCTCTATCCATTAGGGCCTTGGCTTGCAAGGTTTAACAGGAGCCAACTGGGAAGAACCCCTGCCCCAGAGTCTGCTTTGCAAGTCATGCCAACAAGCAATGCCGATTGGCTTTGTCAACGATAGTGCCTTGGAATCCTATAGACCTACCAATCTTAGGAACTAGACTACCGAGACCCACAGAAGATTGACACAATTCCAACATTCTAGCACTAAACACATCATCTATTTACCTCCCCTTGAAGGAGGATGGTCACTGGTTGGTTATTTGATATTTAACAAGTGCAGATTTGACCCCTCACTAGGTGGATAGTAGGTACCAGGAACTCCCTGCGAGCTCAGCATGAAATGCATGAGAGCATTGCCATCATCCTCTTGTCCACAGCTCGAACAACCTGACCCACAGAGCAATCGCTCCACTCACTAATTGGAGGTACAGAACTTGAGCAGCAGCAGCTGCTTACCTCTTTACATATTAATCAAGGTGGACACCAAGCCATGGATATATAAGCTTGTGTTCACAAACTCAGATTCCCGGTAACGCCTTCCAGCAGCTGTTGTCCCAAGCCTGAGTTTCTTCATCAGCTATTCGGAGACATCTGTCTGCAATGTGCTCGAAGGACCCTTACAGGACACGACTGACACTTTGATATTCTGGAGGTCCAATTTAGGTTAAAATTCCGTAATACTATTCTGAAAGAAACCAACAAATTTTAGGTACATTTGTCTATCACTTCATGGCTATTTGTAGAACTATGCTGCAAATTGTTTGCCTACAAATACCCACTCACTACACTTGTTAACAATTAACTGTGATGTATTTTGGCATTTCAACACGCTAGGTTCTGTATTAAATGAAAGGATTATTATTTTATTTGTTTTCAAATTTCTGTATGGGTAGATAAATGACTGCAAGTACAAGTGCTCCCTCCCTCCATCATCACAACTTCATCCAATATGCATAAACCGTGCAAAGCTAACTTTGCATTGATCCTGCATATTCAGTGAGTACTTGATACTGGGAATTCAAACAAAATCTCTAAATATTGCTGCTGTGCATTATTCAAGCAATGGGATGGGAGCAACAATCCTGCAAAGTATTTGCAAAACCCGTGGAATAACACAGTTCAAATGTTGCTCCCATATCACCTTTAAATGTGAACAGTAATTATTGATTGAAAATGTTTGGAGCAAAACATCTGTGGAGATACAAATAGCGATAATAATACAGTGCACTAAATTGCAGGCTAATGACAGCCAATTGCTGAGGTATACTAGCAGCAGCATCACATTACCTCTGGGTTTATTCTTCCTGTTCAGTCACCATGGAGAAGAGATGAAAGGCTTTACTTTCACAGTTCCGGGGCAGGGAAACATTAATATTCAATTGATGACAACAGTGATTTCAAAGCTTGACTACAAATTATTCTGGAATGTTTTAATTGGATGAAAGCCTCGAGTTCTGCACGTAGGAGAGTTTCGTTATATTCAACTGATTTTCTAGTGACATAGTGACAGCACAAAACTGGTACTCTTCAGTGAAGCCACAGGCTACCCAGGGTAGTACAAGCTTCGATGGTATTGTACTGGGGTGGGGGTGTTCTCTGCTGCTTTTCTGAGATAGTGAGGGTTCTAAGACACCGTGATGATGTGGGGGTCTATGCTACTGTGTTCATGTGAGGAAGTGGAGGGAGAAGAAATGCTGAAGGAATTTGAGGGGGAACTGGGCCATTTTGTATAGTGGATTTATTAAATGGACATTATTGTTATTGTATTAATTATTGTTTGCTTAGGTTTGGGGGTTATTTGTAGCTTTTTTGCCAGGAAATTAAGGGGATAGGATGAAGTCTACAATAGAGTAGGTTTTGGAACAGGGAGTGAATGAGCTTGATGGCTGAATAGCCCTTTTCTTGTTCTACAACTTTATATTCTTATGAGATAGAAGGAGCTTTGCTTCTAAATTTGCTTTACCTGACTTGGGAGTATTTTGGATACTTAAAATTAGTGTTTCATTTCCCAGTGTTGACATCCATCACTTTGATGAGTACAAGACTTTAAAAACTGAGAAAAATGCTATCACCCTGGCAGATTTGAAATAAAGCAAATGCTGTACAGTTTGACTGCCTCAATATTTAATGCCTCTTTCCCTGTTCATGTCACTTCCAGGTGACCTCACCCAGGAATGCAATGTCATCTAAAATAGTATATGTGAGCTGCAGTAAACTAAATCTAATCTGATTGTGAAATCAATTATCAATTTCTTTTAAGAAATTATTGGGGAGGGGAAATGAATGACCTGTATTTTCCCAGTCTTCTTGATGTACAGGTATTAACCGGCTTCCGGAACTTGAGGCAATTCTATTTACAAATGAGTTAAACAATGTATGGCTGCACATAAACATCACAAAATGCCAATGGAATAAATTCCCTGTTACTTGAAAGTATTAGTCACTGCTTATGGCCACTTTGAACATATCTTTCATTCATATAGTGGCCTTTCACACAAAGTAAATGTCTCAAAGCTCTTTCCGAAATATAATAGGTTAGAAATGAAAGTGAATGTTATGTAGGCAAAGATAGCAACTAATCTGGGCTAGCAACATCCCGTAAACAATAACGAGATAAAGAGTCAACTGATTTGAAAAGTTGGGGGTAAAGTTGGATTACGCAGGGAATATGAACCAGGATAACTGAGGGGATGGAAGATGTCACATTTCTTTGAATCTCGCAACAACAGGACAGTTTTAAATACACCTGAATTCACAAAGTAGAAGGATCATATAAAGTGACAATATTAAATGCTCAACCAGCAATAGCTGTGGCTGTTATGTATTATTAACCCATGGATTCATGATTCTTAATAACAATTGGATGTCTTGCTTCCTTACATGGTCCTGCAAGTGGATAATTTTTAATTTTTTTGAATTCATGACAGCAGTTAATTTTAACCACAGAAGGAAGGAAACACTTGGAAAAAAAAACTTTTAAGCTTTGCTTCCTAAATGATATGACCCAAATAGAGAATAGTGTGAGGCCATCATGCAGCAATAATCACAGATAATGCAGTTACTTATTTGACCAGAAAGAAATTGCCAGTGTTAGTAAGGACAATCCTGTTCAGTTGTTTTTAATCAACTATTTCTGCAGTTTGTACCTTGCTGGTCCAGTTACTGAATCTGAAAACTCCATTGAAATGACATTGTTTACATTAATGAATGATCTGTATGTACTGTGTTTGATATAGGGATTAAGTAATAAATGTTATACATAATTTCTGTTACTTTTACAAATTATTTTGCTCATACAAACATAAGGATTTTATCTCACAGCTGTCAAAATATCAATCCCCCTGAATTCCATGAATCAAATGACATCCTGGAGTTTTCTCATCCCAACCCCCAGCAATATAGTCCCATTAAGTTTTATAGCAAAACCTCAAGGCTTAAGATTAAGCTCCCAGGTTGGAACCATCTTTATGTGCTGAAGTAAATAGGCATCGGATGCTCTAATTCATCATCGTTATCCAGTTATCTCAGGCTTATTGAATCGCTTTTGTTAAGAAACCAAAAGGTAGAATATTGGTCAAGCTGTATTATGAAGATTATTTTGCCCTACAATCAAAGGTGCACTCTTCACCCTGCTCCTCCTTCTGTATCTGCCCTTCACAGATATTCTTCAGAGATACAAATCTGCAACTGAAAGGGTCAAGCAGACAACCTACTCCCAGGCCAGTGCCAACGCTGCCTGAGATTGGCTACTATGAGGTGTGTAAAAGTAGCCTGCTGGGAACATATTGTATCTTATTCTTTCTTGTGTTATGACAATGGGAACTCATCAGGGTATGGGTTAAACCAACATCCCTGTGTTCTGTGGTATTAATACTTTGTAATACAAAATTCATTACCACCACACCATCTGTAAAAATGACTCAAAAATCCAGCATTGCCACAAATTATGTTTTCTTCACATTTCCCAATTGAGAGGAAAAATAAAGAATAAATTGCATATGTTGGCAACGTAATACATGGTTTAAAGCATAAGCATGGTTTAAAATGCATCTCTCCCACATCTAGGTCAGACTGTCAGCTTTCTTCATCCTTGCTTTCTCTTTGCAGTCCTGTAGCTCAGTGGTTAAAGTAATCGCAAGCAAGAGACCTGGGTTTGATTCCCAGCAGGGTGAAACCTTGGGCAAGTTTTCTTACTCCACACACCTGATAATAATCCCTCAAGAAAATAAAACAATAATAAATTGGTCACTTCAAAACTACAAATGTTTGTGGACACTGCTGTGCGCAGTTGGCTGCCGCATTTCGCTCACAAATATAGTGAATTCACTTTACAGATATTCTGTGAATCACTTTGAGATGTCTAGAAGACGTGAAAAGCACTGCATCAAATGCAAGGATTATTATTATTATTATTTGCAATTGAAATGGGGTTGCATTACACTTAGCATTTAAAGACAGGAGGAAACGGATACCTCTGCTTATGATTTAATGTAATGTGTTTTTCTATCAACTTGATAAGGAACACGTGACCTCCACATAATTGAGCTATCATATTCTGAAAATTAGAATGGAGTCAGATTTGTATTCGGGCTTCACTTTTCTCGAGTGCATAAGTGAGCACAACTCCTGATGGCTACATCAAGTGAAGCTGGTGGCACAGTGAGAGTTGGATCTTCCCAGTGTTATTTTACCATGTTCAAATAAATTGGTATCATATGCTTTCATTCACTATCCTTAACCATTACTCTCAAGCTTAGTGAATTACCTTTCTTCAAAAAACACAAAATAAAATGTGTCAGCCTGCCTTAGATGGTTCGCACACTTGCCTCTGGGTCAGAAGGTTGTGGTTTCAAGTGCCACTTTGGAAGGTGGAATCCATATAGTCTTAAGATAACACGCCAACGGAATACAGGGGGAGTGCTGCATTGTTGGAGGTGCCGTTCTTCAGATGAGATGTTAAACTGAGGTCCCGTCTGCCTATTCATGTGGACGTTAAAGATTTGATGGCACTACTCGAAAAGAGAAGGGCATTTCTCCAGCTGTCCTGGCCGACAATCTCCCAAAATAAAGTCACTGACTTCATGGCTGGTTGTGGGACAATGCTGTATGAAAATTGCCTGTCGTGTTCGTCTATAAAGTACCTTCACAGTATACCCAGTGAAATACTTTGAGATGTTTCTTGAAAGTGACTGAACTGCGGCATAATGGGGTCTGATTATATGGCCAATAACGTGGATACAGAATCCAATCCATATACATTGAGATGACCATTTGAATTAAAACCTACGTTTTCATGAACTTTTTATTCCAATTGCCTACCGCTTGCGCACATCATCAGCAGCAAATCAAGCTGTAACCATAGCTACACATAATTAATGCTGCTGAGCTTTCCTTAGCCCCTTACATAATATGATTCTACATCTCCTGCAAATGATGTAATTGTTGAACTCCTATAGCTTCTGTGGAGCTTCAAGCGCTATTTGTGATGTTGGTCTTCTTCTACATCAGCTGATAATAAGATTTTAAAACCTTTGATTTTGCCCTGATCTTATCTCTCCTCTCCCTTTGTCTGCAGCAACTGGTAAAACTAATGCACGTCTACTACTTTCATGGTTGCAAGTATCCCTGACCTGTCCTCAGGTCTGGTGGACTAACAAACAAAGATTCAAAATGATTCAAACCAGGCACAAGGGAATACAGAACATTTCTACTTATTTACATGCCGTTGAGCAGTCAATGGAGGCTTGTCAGAAAGGAATAGTTTACCCTGCAGCTTAGCTCACCACACTGTATCGCTACCACAGGAAGGATTCCTGTCAAAGATGCCATGACCTTGCTTTATTAAAATGCCTTGCACACTAACAATTCATTTACTACATTTTTACTCATTTTCATTTCAACCCACACTTCAGCTCCCTTTCATACTCAGTCGAATCCATGTTCTGACCCCTGGTCCCTTAGTACCTCCTCAGTAACTGCTTGTACTCTCCACTGCACAGAGCAATTCTGAGGCTAGGTATATTGGGGCAGAAATTCTGCTCACTGCTATGTGTAGTAATTTTGGCAATGCACGATTATAATAGAAGAATACCATTCAGGGCTGACAATGTCAGTAAGTGCCATGTGTTACACCGAGTGGAATTCCAAACCAATTAAGTAAATTATTTTACTGTGACTGTCCAGCTGATCACTCTGAAGCACTGATTTGATTTGAAGCACTGCACTGCATTGATGCAAGCCATCATCAACACTGAAGCTTCAGTATCTGGGCCAACAGAATACACTGTTCAGTACTGTGCTATAGTAGTGTACTTTGTAGATACCAATTCTTTAGCATCAAGTGAGTCACATGTTAAAGCTCAGCAGCTGTGTTCTGATCTTTTCCCCCTCCACTTCACTGCTCGCCCTATCCGCTTGGCTACCTCAGGCTCGCTGTGTCCCTCACGCTCTTCGTGCCACTGTTAATTTTCAGATTCTACATCGCTAACCTCTGGATCATCCTCCTTCTCACCCCTTTCTACCTTCAAGTCATGACTTAAAACTTACTACTTCAACTGTGTCCACAGTCACTTTCCTCTTTTCTTCTCACTATATAAATGTGAGTTGTTGTTGTTCCACCTGATACCAATAAGCACTGATGCCCTACTTCTCTACCTTTTTGGTGTACCTTATTTAGCTTGTCCAACCATATATTGGATACTAGAACTCAATGGGAGCAGATTTGCATCTCTCCTTACCTTTGTGTTCAGTCAGTACATTCGAGTGATGAATCAGACTGAAGTAGTGAAGTAGAGTTATTCCACCCATATGTAACAGTGAGTTAAATTAATTCACCTTCAGTATACTTCCTCCAACTGTTGAGAAATGGCACTGTACCTAACTTGGCAAGTATTCAGGATGCTATCATGCTTTATTTTGAAGCATGTCTGCAGTTCAAGCTCGCTCAAAGAGTTTATTATAATCTCTACAGCTCAAAGCATAGTGTCTATGGTGCCACAATAGCAGGCCAACTCTGCACAACAGTTGTTTGCCAACTGGCCACAAGTAATAATAATCATAATCCTTGCATTTGATATAGCGCTTTTCACGTCGGGAGGACGTCCCAAAGCGCTTCACAGAACACACTGTAAAGTGAATTGACTGTATATTTGTGGGTGAACGCGGCAGCCAATTGCGCATAGTAATGACCCACAAACAGTCATGGATTGAAAATGACCAATTTATTATTGTTTTTGGTTTTGGAGGGATTATTATTAGGCATGTGGAGTAAGGAAACTTGCCCAAGGTTTCGCTATGCCTGGAATTGAACTCAGGTCTCTCGCTTGCAAAGCGAGTGCTCTAACCACTGAGCTACAAGCCTCCACAAAGTAACCTCAAAGATGAAACCTCATCCATACTAGTGGACATCTGGGAGTTAGGTAATGAGCCACTTGCAGTGGATGCCATGAAACTGTCACTCATCCATCACATCCTTCAGTACAGGGTCAAATTAGTGACTATCCTCCGGAGGAAGAGGGTAAGCAGTCCATTGCGCAGTGCCTCAGTGCCTGGCAATGAAATGTTGAATTTGAATTGGTCCTCTGTGGTGGTCTTGATAGTCCATTTTCTGAGCCACATGAGTACTCAGTACTGCAACAGTACTGTCAATAACAAACCAGCTAGCCTGGTTTATCAGCAGGACTTGGAGTACAGATCTGGGGACAGAGATCTTCCTATTCAGCTCCCATTATCTTGGGACGTCCTCTCAATGTGAAAGGTGCTATACTATACATATGTTATTTTGTATTATATTAATCCTGCCAGTCAAAGCGTTAATAGGTAGACTATTCCTAGCTGGAAAAGGAGGCAAACTTGTCAGAGAGTGCTCCCAATGTTAATCTATGCAGTTTTAACTCCAGCAATACCCCAACATGCACTTCAAACCTTGTCTCTTGCCAACCTCCACCTAATACTTTTCAGAACTCTATTATCAAAAATAATAATCTTTGCATCTTATTTAGTGCTTTTCACAGCAGGAGGATGTCATAAAGCACTTTAGGGGATTTACTGTAAAGTGTAATGACTGTGTATTTTGTAGGTGAATGTGGAGGACAATTTGCATACAGAAATGTCCCACAAACACCCCTGATGTGAAGAGCCAAATCTATCTAGAGAGTTGTTCACCAGAACAGTAGGAGAAACTCCCATATCTTTTGTTAGTGCCATAAGATTTTTAGTGTGCACTTGAACAGGCAGATGAGACCCTATCTTTAACATCTAATCCAAAAGGACAGCACCTCTGACAATGCAGCTGTACACTGGAGTGTCAAGTGAATTTCCCCAGTCCTTACCAGGCTCCATTGGTTCCCTGTTGCAGGACGAGTTTCAAGATTCACACTCACTTACCAATCACTTCATGCTCTTTTCCTGTCTTTCCCGTAACATTGGGAGCACTGACTGACAAGCTTTGTCCTGCCTTTCCAGCTAGGAATACATTCCCTTTCAATCGTGCACACAGTCACCTCCACTTTCTCTCCGGCTCTGCATCAAGCTCCAATATTGTTAAGCACTCTGAGATGCTACGCTGTGTGAAGGGCACTATATAAATGCAAATTTGGTTGAGTATAATCTTAAACTGTGAGTTCAAACTCTGACATGGGGCTTCAACCCACAACCTTTGACTGAGAGAGGAAAGACCTTCTGAGCCAATCTAACACATCTTAGGTAAACAGGGTGCATCTATGATCAACGAAAAATTTCCATGTATAAGTATGTGAAGTGTGGTTTAGATATTTTTCAGCATGGGAATGGATTTCTGCATGTGTCAAGCACCCGAGCGGCCCCCCAAACAAGTAGCACAAAACCTTAAACGTGGCAGAACCCAGACTCCCATTCAAGATGTGGACCACTTAATACAGATCTCTTAGGGAAGGATTTTCAGCAATTGTTCTTTGTAGATAGTGCCATAAAAATGCGGCAGGATTTCGGTGAACAACTCTGGTTATTCTCCAAGTAGAAAACAAAACTTATGTTCCTCCTCTTAGCATCCTTTTTGGATTGATATCAAAACTTATTGCAGCATATCATACTTCCAATTTATTCTCTCTCAAGACCTCACTGTTTATGTGCCTAAGTCTTCTTTTCTTCATACTATCTGCAGGCTTTTAAAACACAATCTAGGTGTTATCTAACCACTTCTTCATGATTTATCTTGCTTCTCTGATCCTGTTTTCATGCTTGGTTTTATACTGAATTACGGACTTCATCCTAGGTTCTCAATAAAATAAAAGGAATGCATAGACTAAGTTTGTATTTTTCCAGCCCTTTTATTATTTGCTGGCTGGTTGGCCCTGCTTGTATTTGTGCAGGTTGTTAACAGCAGCTTTGAAAAATGTAAAGGCAGCCTTGCATGGAAGGCACTTACATGGGGAACAGCACTAGATGTGACGCCAATTTTTCAAATGATCTGTAGATGTAATTAATCTCATGTGAACTGCTTCTTTGGGATTGATCTCTTCAGATGAGAATCTTATAGTTTTTCCATCATAAAGCACAGTCTATGTTGTTTACCATCTACTTAATTTAATATTGTAAGAGGATGTAATTCTCTCATCTTCTGTAATTTGCCTTTGTAGATGGATGTCTTATTCTTGCTGACCTTGACAGTGTAAGCTTATAATGGAATTTTACAATTATAAACTCACACTGACCAGCTTGGTAAATGTACTGATGATTGGAAAATGAATTCCATGTGATTCAAATTTGAATGAAATCTGAATTGTCGTTGAAGGAACTTTAATGTGCTCTGAAAAAATGAAAAAAATGTCAAATTATTCTGAGCAGTTAATTGAAGTAAACCCCAGAGAAATATACTTCAGTCTCTTAATAGCTACAATCTGCTCCTGCTTTTTTTTGTAGGTTCATTGATTCCTTACAGAAAAATAAATCAAATACTGAATCATCTGGTTTTATTAAAATGGAGTTCATTGTAATAGGATAACTAACTAGCTAATGAATACAATTTTCCTTTGCCATTTTATACAGCATGTAAGGCAGAAATAAAAATCCGCAATGTTGCTGTTCAAATATAATATATTCTATTTCCTATTCTTTCTCCCACTTCATATTTAACACTGATCCCACAGGCACACAGCTAACTACTCTCTGTTAATCAGAAAAAAACTAATTCTTAATATCCTTCACCCCATTACCTTTCCTTCAACCATTCTCATATCCACTTTGCTACCCAATTATTTCACGTGTCTTAATTTTGGTCACTTTATTGAAATCCTTCTTAAAATCAAAATCTACTGCATCTCCCTTATCCAGATTCTTGGTTACCTCTTCAAAAAATTCAATCAAATTAGGTCAGACACAATCTTCCCTTTATAAACCCCTTGGTATATCTTACTAGTTCAATCTAAATGTTCTATAATGATATCCCTTATATGACCTTATTACAACATTTCTAAGCATATTCTGTTATTTATTGAAGGAATGAGGTTAAAATGTATTTTGAAAAACCTTGACTTCTGAATAGTCTGTGGGACAATAGATGGCATCCATGCTAAACTCTCAAGAGAGTCAAAACACGACATGTATTAATATTCAGCAGCTATGTGGTTTATTGATATCTTTTGATTGAGTGTTCTACTCACACATCAAGCTCCCATAAAATGCCCGTAAATATTTTAGGATCTAACTTTAACTGAGGGCTGGATGGGCATGGGGAGGGAGTAATTTGATCATCTGCTTATCAATATTTTTCCACCCAAACTTCATTGAGAATAAATGTAGATGAGCTAAAAATGACTTGGATATGTAGATGAGCTAAAAATGAGTTGGATATGACTTAAAATTAGAAAGAGATGGAAATTAAATTAAGTTAGTATGTTCCTCCAAGTATTCTGTGACCATGTTTGGGAGGGGAAGGGTGGAGTAAAAGAATGTTGTCGGCTTATAATTTTAGTCGAAGTAAGTGTGTTTTATCTAGAAAATTGTTGAATTCCTTAAATCATTCATAAAATTTAATATAAATGAATCAGGTGTTCACTTATGAATTCTCTCAACTATTGCCTTCAACTAAAGACAGAATTTCTCATGCAATTTTAAAATTTGAAGCAGGGGATGTAAAGCCGCATTTGGAATATGGGGATTTGGTTGGAATAAACTGCTTAAACAACAGAAATAATTAAAGGGCAGTGTCTTAGTGCAGTATCTTGCATTTTTTTGTAAAATAACAAAATAAATAATTTGAATAATAATAATAAAATAATCCTTGCATTTGATATAGCGCTTTTTCATGTCTTCTCGATGTCTCAAAGCGCTTCACAGAATATACTGTAAAGTGAATTGACCGTATAATTTGAAGAATATTCCATCCCAAGTTTCAGCTAATTAATTGCTTCAGCGTCACTTTGGTGATTAGACTTTTATTGCTTTTCAGTACACTTCTACATATCCAATAGAGTGTCTTTCACATCTGGTGGACATCCCAAGGTGCTGGACAGTCAGGGATTTGGACCTGAGCAGGGGGTTGGGACCGAGGGCAGAGAGGGTATTGATAGGAGGGTGACCAAAAGCGTGGTCGAAGAGGAGGGTCTTGAGACCTGCTTTGAAGGAGGTAAGGGAGGCAGCAAGACAAAGGAACTGGGAGATGGAGTTCCAAAGGGTGTGGGCAGAGAAGCTGTAGACCCGACCTCCGATGGTGGGGCAGGCTAGGCGGGGTACGTGAGGCGGGCCAGGCGGGGGATGTGCTGCAAGCCGGATCCTGCTGAGCGGAGGGAGAGGACAGCTTGATATGGGATTAGCAGGTCGTAGAGCTAGGAAGGAGCAAGGCCATGGAGGTGTTGAAGGCGAGGACGAGGATTTTGAATTCTATCCTCTGGGGAATGGGGAGCCAGTGGAGCCGGGCGAGGGTGGGGGTGATGGGGCTATGGATCCTGGTGTGGGAGAGGACATGAGCTGCAGAGTTCTGGATGAACTGCAGCTTGTGGAGGGAAGAGTTGGGAAGGCTGACAAGCAGGGAGTTGGCATAGTTGAGCCTAGATGTAATAAATGCATGGATGAGGGTTTCGGCAGCCTGAGGGGAGAGGCAGTGGTGGAGCCGGGCGATGTTGCGGAGGTGGGGGAACCCGCTTGTTAGTTGGTTGTCGGATTGCTTTCCGGGGGTAATAATCCCTTCAAAATAATAATCATAATGTAGTCACTGCAATCCACGACTGTTTGTGGGACACTGCTGTGCACAATTAGCTGCTGTGTTTCGCCCACAAAACATAACTTCAGTACTCTTTACACTCGACGACGTAATGACTCGCTATATCAAAAGAATTTTTTTTATTATCATGCAATATTTTAATGTGTTTCTGTCTTTTGTTCTCGCTCTTTCTTGTTTTCTTTTCACCTTGCTCTGTAGATAGTGATATTTTCTGTTCCTTTTGTCTGTGTCTTGTCTCTTTTCACTATTCTCTTGTTTTCTGTTTCTATTTGCTTTCCCTTGTCTTTGCTTTCACACAACAAGCCCAGAGTGTAGTTTGACCCCAAGATATAGTAATGTGGTATCTGTGAGCTTTATCAATATACTGCCAAGATTCTCATTGATGCCTCAGAGGAGGTATACAAGATTCTCTGAAACATCAAAGAATTGTATCTTGGTGATGTGCTACGGAGATTGTGAAAATGGGTATCTACTGAAATTCCTTCCCTTTAACTATGTTAGGTTGGGGATCATGTATATGATGAAAATACCTTATGCAGCTCAAAATAACAAAAGGATTTTTTTGAGAAGTTTCTAATGCCTTCTGTAAAATCTTGTATGCTAAATTATCTGCTCTGCTTTCACTGTGTGTGGAGTGCCTGAGCTTATATTTCTTCTAAAAATCAGTTCATAACACCAATGACAACAGCAATGTATCAACTTGTTACACAGAAATTTCCAATTAGGGTTCTGTCTTGTACCAGTGATGTACGGGTAATGGTTTAAGGCTTCATTTTTTATTTATGTCAAAAAGAAATAGTGCAGCAGCATGATTCCATTAAAAAACATTAGACTGATGCTCTGTACTGTTAAAATGTTACTCACGCAATGTAATGCCTCAGTTTTTTGTTTATGCAAAGAAAGAAAATGGGAGGAGTACCACTGTACAGTATTTAACATTCTGTTTTTTATATTATTTATTTCCCAATAATAGCATTTTATGTTTTTGTTAGAAAATTATGTGATTAGTGCTTAGATGCATCACTTGCTGTGTGAAAAATATCACACATTACACCTCACATGGAGTGGCAACAACTGTGTTGAGAAAGTACACTTTGGCAGTAGGACAGTAGTACAGATTTAATTTCAATATCAATGTGCTAGCAACAAAAGAAAAGCCTTGCTTTGTTCTGAATCTGCAATGTACTTCGGACTGTCCATGAAACCAAACTGCTCTTCTTTGTGAAATCCTTAAAAATGTTTAAACCATTGAAAGGCCTCCTAATAGTTTCTGATGTTCAAGTAGAGGTTTGAAGAGTCACTGTCAATAAAGGATATAGGTTTGCACGTTAATGTGTGTAACATGACACTTGGGTAGAGTGTGTATTTGGGAATTTAATACTGTATCAGAATAAAGCTGAAGGTATCTCAATGTGAAACACTTGCTTAAAATGTTCTCAATTTGAATCAATACCTAAAATTTGTGTTTTTTTCCCTTCTTCACATTAAGGTCAATGGAACGGAAATAGAATACGAATTTGAAGAAATCACATTGGAAAGGGTAAGTCAAGATTGAGTTTGACTGCTGGTTTTACATTCAGATTGCACGGCGCCACCTGATTATATTTGTATTCATTATATTGATTAACTGCCAGTGTCAGCCTGGCTGAGTGGTAGCACTCTCGCCTGTGAGTCAGTAAGTAGGTTGTAGGTTCAAGCCTCACTTCGGGACTTGGAATCACACAGTCTAAGCTGACACTCCAGTGCGGTGCTGGGGGTATGCTGTATTGTTGGAGGTGCCATCCTTCAGATGAAACGTCAAACCAGGGTCCCATGTGCCGGTTCAGTTAGATTTTAAAGATCCCATGGCACTATTCGAAAAGAGAAGGGAGTTTGTCCCAGTGTTCTGGCCAACCATCCCCCAAATAAAATGGGTCATTCCCACCCACGGCTGTTTGTGGGACATTGCTGTGGGTGATTGCAGCTGCATTTCGCTCACAAAATCCACAGTCATTGCACTTTTCAGTATATCCTGTGAAGTACTTTTGAGATGTCTCGACAATTTGATAAGGTGCAACATCAAATGCAAGGATTATTATCATTATTATTAACTGACGAGATGGATACTTTTAACCTTTTGATGCCTGAAAGATTTGAGAGATTCAATTTGCGCAGCTTCCATTTCATAAAATACTTACATAAATGATGTTCTGTACATTAAGGGTCACTGTTTACAAAACAAGTATTCTAAGTAATATCTGGTCGCTGTTGGGGGACATGTTTTCAATGTCCTGCCTGGTAAAAACCTCCAGGAAGTAGTCATTTAACATGTTTGCTATCTCCTGTTAATTCTCTTTTTCAACCCAATTTGAATCCCTTAGTGTTTTAACATATTCCCTAACTACCTGCTTACTGTTGTAATATTGAAAGAATTTTTGGAGGTTGTTTTACATTTATTGCTTTGTCCCTTTCCAGTTTTATCTTCGATAATCTCTTGTTTTAACCTCTTTCTCTATAGTCTTGTATTCAGCCCAATGGTCATCCTCTTGCCTTCTCCCTACACTCTTTATAAATTTGCCTTTTTTTCTCTATCCCCCTTTTTACTATCCTATTGATCCATTTTGATGTGTTTTTGTTTATTTTGCCCCTGCTGCAGTTTAATATATACTTATCCTGTTTGCACTGAATAATGTTCTTTAGGGATGTCCATTCATCCTCAACTGATTTGGCCTTGAGTAATGCCTCCCAGTTTTTATTTCTTAGCTCAGCTCTCATATCTCTGACGTTTGACCTCCGAAAGTTGTACACCGGAGTTTGGTTGTGTGCTGGTGTTTTTTCCCAAGTTAAATTGAAGGTTATTGAGTTGTGGTCACTATCCCCTGGAGGATCAACTGCTCCATTCCCTGAATAGTGTCTGGGTCAGTGACTAGAACTAAGTTAGGAAAGGAATTGTCCCTTGTGGGCTGCCTGACAAACTGAATCAGGAAGCAGACATGGACTACATTTACAAGCTCAACGTCTTTTTGCACATGGACATTCCCAGTTTATGTTTACCTTCTTTTTCTCACATACATTCGTAATATTATTATGCAGTGCCAAATCAGAAAGTAGACAGGCATGTGAAAGAGAGGGGCATGAAGGAGTATAGGGATCAGTTCAGGTTTGATGGGGGCAAATAGCATCCTTCTGCGCTGCAGACTTTTATGCTTCTATGTTCTCACTGCTTTGGCTTGGCATTCTATAGCAAACCCCAAATATCTCTCTAACGACTATAACTGGCCTTTTGAAGCAGCTACTTCTAAAGTAATTTTGAATATTTCACCCACAACGTATACAGTCAATTAACTTTACAATATATTTACAGTATATTCTGTGAATCACTCTGAGACGTCTCGGAGACGCAAAATCAAATGCAACGATTATTATTATATTGGGGGAAGTAACAGGGACACGAATCAGGTTGTTCTTTTTCCTGCCTCTCATAACATTTTATTAATCCTTTTCTGGCCTATAAAGTACGGCTCTTAAAAATAAAACCTCAGTTCCTAAACCTTTAGATGAACTGTACTTCAGGCTGTCCAAATGATATGCAGTAGTTTGGAAAGTGATAGCTATTGACCTCCAGCTATACTCCATTTCATAAGGTATTCAGAGGTGGTTTGTTGAATTTTATGTTAGACTTGATGTATGAAGCGATTAATTGATGTTCATATTCATCAAGTCCTGTAGCTCAGTGGCTAGAGCATTCACCTCGCAAGCAAGAGACCTGGGTTTGATTCCCGAAAGTTCCCGACACTGCTGTGCACAATTGACTGCAACGTTTCGCCCACAAAATATACAGTCAATTCACTCTGCAGTATATCCTGTGAAGCGCTTTGTGAGGTCTCAACGGCGCTATATCAAATGCAAAGATTATTATTATTATATTACCACTTTCCCATCTAACTGTATAAAGGTGACTTTGTTTGAACATTTACAGGAATATTCAAAACACATTGTTAGGCTTTCCTTAATATCTGGCAGTTCCTAAAATTACAAGAGAAAAGTTATTTTATCATTAAAAATATATAAAACAGAGAATTAAGTACAAAAGTAGGGAAGTCATTTTTAATTTATTTGGAACCTTGGTTAAACTATATTTGGAGTGCTATGTGCGCTTTTGGTCACCATACTAAAGGAAGTATGTTGTATCATTGAAGAGATTTATTTTGGTTAGCTGGGTTTCTGATACATGCGGAAACCCATCACCATGTTTAGGAAAACCAAACTGAGATTTCCATGCATCCCACCTACATGGAAATTCCAGTGATAGATTGTTGCAATGGTATGCACATCCTCTCCCTGGAGGGATGCATCCTCCTTACCTAATTCCAGAAAGTATTAGGTGCACATTGGCAAGAGCCAAGGCTTGGCGATCCCAGAATGGGCTTTGAGGTACCGCTGGAGTCTAACTAGCTAAAACCGCATAGCTTGCCATTGATATTGCTGTTTGGCAAGCTTTCTCGTTGCCTGTCCAGCTAGGACCACCCTACCCTTTAGGGCTTTGGCTTGCAGGGTTAACAGGAGCTGAGTGGGTTCACTCCCTGTCCCCAGTGACTGGTCTGCCCTTCCAGGTCCTGCCGATGAGCCAGGCTGGCTGTGCTATTATCAGCATTGCTCTGGAATACTGCAAACCCGCCTGGCTTAAAGTGCAACATAGATTTATACATATGGATTAATGGATCAACTACTGGGGATGAGTGGATTCAGCTATCAAGAAAGGTTGGGCAATTTTTTTTTTCTTTCAAGATGAAACAATTAAGAAGGAACCCAAGAGTGGTTCTTAAAATTATGAAAATGATTTGATAAGGTAATCAAATTAATGGGCTGTTTCCATTTGTTGCTGAGTTAAAGGTCAGGAAGAAAAAGAAGATCTAAAAGGGTGTCCAGCAGGAATTTATTTTTGAACCGGGTGGTAATAATGTTGAACTCGCTCCCAGAAACTGTGATTGAAGCAGACAGCATCAACATATTTAAGACGATGCATACATGAGGGACAAGCGAATAGAAGGGTATGGGCGAGGGTATTAAGAGGAGTGGAGTGGAGTGTGTAAACACTGGCACTACATTGGCTGAAAAGCTGTTTCCATGCTGTAAGGTGCTACATAATTCTATTTCACTCTGTTTCGGTTTTCTTGCTGTGCCAAGCAATGCAGTACAAATCTAACTGCAAACTGTGATTGTTGACCTGCTTCTTCAGTGCCCTTCAGATTTGATTTACACTCATTCAAACTCTGTAAACATCAAAGAAAACCTTGTTTTGTAGTTACTTAACGATTATTCATAAATACAAGAAGCTGGGAAAAAGCAATTTACCCTTATTCTCAGGAGGACTGAAATGGAACAACCTGGTCTTGTGATTGACAAGAAGCATTTTCACTTTGGAAGTTGGGTAGAAACATGAATCTCATTACAAATCCACACCGAACACAAGTAGTTTTGAATGCGTACCCTAACTTCAGAAAAAAATCTCTTTTATGATTTCAGAACATGATATATATGATAATATAATAATAATCCTTGTATTTGATATATCATGTCCTTATCATGTAGTTGAGATGTCTCAAAGCACTTCATAGGATATTCTGCAAAGTGGATTGAGTGTATTTTGTGGGCGAAATGCGGTAGCCAGTTGCACACAGCAATGTCCCACAAACAGCCATGAAATAAGTGACAGATTTTATTTGGGGGCGATTGTTGACCAAGACATCTGGAGAAATGCCCTTTTCTTTTCGAAAAGTGCCTCGGGATCTTTAACACCCACCTGAATAGGCAGACCGGACCTCGGTTTAACATTCGTGAAGTGTATGTGGTACAATACTTTTCCCGATGACCTCCTAACCCCCTACCGACTTGCCCATTCCCTTCGCTCAGCCGACTCCGGCCTGCTCCATGTCCCCCGACCCAACTGCCCCACCATTGGTGGGAGAGCCTTCAGCCACTCTGCCCCCAACCTCTTGAATTGCATCCCCCAGTCATTCCGCCTCGCCCCCTCCTTAGCCTCTTTCAAGTCCGGCCTCAAGACCCTCCTCTTTGACCATGCCATCGGCTACCCCCCTTTCCCTCCCCTTCCTTCTCCCCCCCTGACCCCAGCTTGAGTCTGATATGCTGTACACTGTCCAGCGCCTTGGGACGACCTCCCGACGTGAAAAGCGCTATACAAATGTAATCTTGTTGTTGTTGAATTATATGATGAATATAAATATTACAGAGGTAGATATCTATGAGTAGTGGAGCTTAAAAACAGTAAACGTGTACAAAATGATGCAGTATCCATTAGAAGTGAACAAACGTATTATTGATTATTTTGTTAAGCTTTACAGTCAATGTGAAGCTGCTGTCATGTCAGTTAATGAAATACAAAGTTGCATCTTTAGGGCATTTTATAATAATTAGAAAGATGGTATACTAACCTTGTACAGATCCCTAGTAATCTGTCACTTTTCAATTGGGACATTGTGGGATCTTACTGTGCTGTGCCCAAACTGGCTGCTGCATTCACCTCCAAAATACACTGTACTTCACAGTAAATCCTTTTGGAGCACTTCCATTATTATTATAATGAAGTCCCAGTTGGAATATTGGTTGCAGTTTGGGTCCTCTCCATTCAAAAGGATAGTGAATTAATTATTTGAGGGATTCAAATATACAACTGCAATAATTCTGGACATAGGGCTAATAATTATGAAGGCTTTCAGAGCTGAACTTGTTCTCTTTAGCAATAAATAGGTAGGATTTAATAGTCCAGGATTTCAAAATGCTACGAGCATTGATGAGGTAGATGTGAGCAGGACAGACCAAGAAGAGTAGAAGGGGGAGGATATGTTTTAAAATGCAGTGAAAAGATTTAAACTGGACGAGTGATTAAAATAATTTTCCTTCAGAACATTGGATACATTGGCGAGAACGACATTCCCTCTATCTGTGAACAGGGCTCCCTCTACCTCCTTGATCTTTCTGCTGTGTTCGACACAGTCAACCACGCCATCCTCCTCCACCGCCTCTCCTCCCTCATCCACCTTAGTGGGACCGCACACGCATGGTTCGAGTCCTCTTTAACCAACCACCTCCATTTCATCTCGGCAAATGGTTTCTCCTCCCACGCCCGCCCGGTCACCTGCGAGGTACACCAAGGCTCCATCCTTGGCCCTCTTCTTTTTCTTACCTATATGCTCCCGCTGGGATGTAATCCGCAGACACAGGGAAAACTTCCACATGTATGCCGATGACCCACAGATCTACATTACCTCCTCCAGTTCCAATTCCCAATCCCCCGATGTTCTATCAGCTTGTCTGACAGACATCAGGGCCTGGATGAGTAAACTTCCTGCAGTTAAATGTGGACAAGACAGAAGCCATACTCCTTGACTCCTGTCAACGTCTTCACTCCTGCGGATCTAAACTTCTCAACCTCCCTGTGGTCTCCCTCAGTCTCACCGAACCAGTGTGCAAACCTAGGTGTCCGGTTTGACCTGCCGCTGTCTTTCCTCCCCCACATCCGGTCCCTGACCAGGACCACCTTCATCCACCTCCATCACATTGCTCACCTCCGACTGTACATTACTCCAAATACAACCGAAACCCTCATGCATGCGTTTGTCACCTCCCGCTTGGTTTAGTCAAATGCACTCCTTGCCGTTCTCCCCAGCTCCACTATTCAAAAGATCATGGTCGAAGATGAAGGTCTTTAGATGGGGCTTGAAGGAAGCAAGAGAGGGGGTGAGGCAGAGGGATTGCGGGATAGAGTTCCAGAGTGTGGGAGCAGAGATGTTGAATGCTCGACCACCAATGGTGGGGCAGGAAGTGCGGGGGACCTGAAGCAGGCCAGAGTCTGCCGAGCGGAAGGAGCAATACAGTACTTTAAGACGCAATTAGTGACACACAATAATTGAATTTGAAAAGTACCTGTGTTGATTCATATCTCCTGGGATAACATTTGTTGCTTGCTTGAATGCTTTACATCCTATTTTTGATGTGATTATAGAACTAGGAGTTGGCCATTTGGCTTAATGTTGAAACGCGCTATACAAATGTAATTATACACATTGTATTGTATTAGTTCTTTATTATTTTAATTCCATTTCCCACCTTTTCTCTATAAAAGCTATTAATAATACCCTCCTATCTGCATTCCATGTAAGAAATACCACTGGTCTCTAGTTTTAGATCTAAATGATTTACAATATTAGTATGTCATGCCTGAATCAGTTTCATTGATTATTGGTGGTCACTTAACCTGTTCTGCAATCCTTTTCTACGAAGTTAATACAATGTATTTTGCATGGTATCCTGATATCCAAAATGGGGCTGGTGGCCACTCATGCAGATATTGGACTTTGAATGTAACAGAGCAAAAATAAAAGGCTTCCAGAATCTTTATATTTTTTAAAAGGTGTTGTTTAGAAAATGTTTTGTTTACATCCTTCTGTTAATTTGAAAGAAAAATTTCATAAATGTTCTCAACATATAATGGTGAATAGCAGTGTTTTCTATTGAATAGATTAACTGTGTTAACTTTCTCAAATTTTGTCCGTGCGTTTTTCTCATTTTAAATTAGGCGGAGCATATTTTCACAATGCTTTATGGTCTGTTTTATTGCTTCACTTGGTTTTGCTTGTTTTGTTTATTAGTTATCGTTTCATGGGAATTCTAGTTCAGAATTTCAGTAAATGTACAATATAAAGAGTGATATTTTGTGATGCATTTTGCTAAAAGATATTCTTCTCATTAAAATACAGGGAAGAAATATTATAATATGTTTTGCTCTCTATTGGGGATGGCATTGAAATCATTCAATCCTTTCTAGACCCTTACTGAAAGGCTGTTCTGTAGTTAACCGATACAGAGTATTTGTAACAAATTCTCCTTTCCAGACTTCACAATGTGTCCTTTTGAAGCGTGAAACCTTATTAAAGAGACATGATGAGCTCTGGGCTTTGTCGATAAAAAATGATTAAATTAAATTATATCATTTGCTTGTCTGACAGGGTAATTCGGGTTTAGGATTTAGTATTGCTGGAGGCATAGACAACCCACACATTGGAGATGACCCTGGGATATTTATTACCAAAATTATCCCTGGTGGAGCAGCAGCTGAAGATGGACGACTCAGGTACACAAGTTGGATGAATTTTAAAAGTTTACATACAATAGATTTTCTCTGAATAAGACAACGAAATAATTAAAACAATAACAAGTAATTTGCAGTTTAATTTGTTATAGTTCTTCCTCACTGTTGTACACTGTTATATGACTCCTGGATAGAAAGCAATCTGTCATACACTATAATATGAGTTGCTGGTATCTCACTAATAATAGAAAAAAGATTCCCTGCCATCAGTAACTGGTCTGCCACTCCAAGTTCTGCAAACGTTCCAGACTGGATAGTTCTGTCATGAACAATGTCTTGGACTACTGCGGATTGCAGATTGTGGACCTGCCTTCCCTCAGGAACTGGACTACTGTGACTACCACATCAGTTATGATATTCCATTGTCAGGCCAGTTCAGTCCCAAGGATAACCTAACCTTTTCCCCCTCCTCCACTCACACACACACCCCACATACACACAACACATACCAAGGAGGAGGCGGCGGATCAGTTGGCCATTAGACATCTGACAAGTGCAGTTATTATTCTTCACTGGCAGATAATAACTACCAGGTGGTCCTTGCAAGCCTCATAGTGAGCAGCGTAACACAGCATGAAATGTGTGAAAGCATTGCCACAATCCTTCTTCTCAATAGCCCGGACCCACAACCCTACCAGTTGCATCAATTAGAAATGTGGAGTTTGAGCATCAGTTGCTTAGCTCTGTGCATACCGATTAGGGTATTTACCACGCCCTAGATATGTGAACCCGTGTTCACAAACCTGGTCTCCAAGTAATGGCATCCAGCAACTGTCGTCCCAAGCTTCATCAGCTATTCAACATCTGCTTGAAGCATTCTATATTCTAACAATCCTCACAATATGGAGTTATGAAGGTTATTAAGACACTGCAAAATTACTTATTTAACTTATTAATATAAATTTGATAATGCCAGTTTCTAAATCTAATCAACAAGAGAAAAGAAATCTGCCTCTTTTGTACAATCAACTACATTTTATCACAAAATCTAGTAATTGATGTCTTCCATGAACAATATTAATTTATCTTGTTTTTTAATGATTTCAATGCGCATAAATACAACCAGCTTTTGTTTCAAACAATTACATTGCCTAATTTAATTTTTTGAAGTGTGAGTTTTGGGTGCTCATCAAAGTGATTGCAACTGGCATAAATTTTCCATTTTTACTCTCATTCAGCACTTGAATAGCAGATTTAGCACAGATTTGTACGGAGTAAAATTCCCTCTATTCAGTGTACACAATTGTGTGTACAGTACGTAAGCAATCATCAACAATCCCCAAAATAAAAAAAAGGTCATTCATATCATGGCTATTGGTGGGACATTGCTTTGTGGAAACTGGATGCTATGTTCACCATCAAAATACACAGTCACTCCACATTATAGTACTGTATATCCTGTGAAGTGCTTTGAGGCATGTAAATGTGCTATACCAAATGTAAGGCTATACTATTATTACTCCATCCTTCCTAATCCCCTCTCTTTTCCCTTCTAGTGCGTTTGATTCAAGGTTCCTGTTAAATACATTGATATTTTCTGTCTCAACCACAGCTTCTGGCACTGAGTTCCACATTCTCGTGTCTCTCTGCATAAAGGGATTCATTCTAAATTCTCTTTTGATCGGCTACGAGCTATCTTGTACTTATGCCCCCTCTGTTTTGACTTACCAACAACTGGAAACAGCCTATTGACATCCAACTAATTGAATACTTTCATAATTTTAAACACTTCTACCAGGTCCCCTCAATTTGTCCATTATGTTTCAACAATTTGTTTTAAGCCAACCTCAGAAGAGCATCATGAATGGTACCAGTGTGATTGGTACTGTGGTATCCATACAAAGTTCCAATGAATATATTAACTGCTTCAACTTCATTCTTGGTTTTATGATGCCATGGGAACCTGGAGTTTCTTAGTGCTTCTTTTACTCCATGTAACGTATCATAGAAAACCTTAATCATGAACTGTGATACAATTCTTTTTATGAGGAAAACGTAATAATGTCCCAACTACATTGAATAAATGGCGTCCCTGTTATGCTGACTGTGTGAACCTTTCATTGTGTAGACTTAAAGGGCCAATGCGTTTTGTGTCAGATTAATGAAAAGCATTCCTTCCAGTCATGCACAAAGCACTTAAACCCTGCCTCTACATGGACTGATTTCTTAATTATTCAGAACTCTGCCGCCCGCATTCTCAACCGCACGAAACTCTGCTCCCCGATCACTCCAGTCCTTCCAGACTGCACTGGCTGCCTATCCCAGAGAGGATCGACTTCAAGATCCTCACCCTCGTATTCAAGTCCCTGAACTCCTCTGCACCCCCTACCTCTCTGATCTCCTGTCTCTTCAAAACAGTACCCGTTGCCTTCGTTCCTCCGGGTCTGGCCTCCTCCTTGTCCCCCAAGTCCTCCACTCCACCCTCAGCGGCTGTGCCTTAGCCACTATGCCCCAAGGCTCTGGAACTGCCTTCCTCACTCCCTTCATCTCACTCCCTCCTTTCCCATTTTCAGGTCTCTGAAGATCTTTCTTTTCGACCACGCCTTTGGTCACCTTCCCCCCCCTCCCCCTGGCTCGGTCCCGAGATCCAAAACTGTAAAGCGCTCTGAGGGGCCGTCCGGCGTGGAGAGCCCTATATAAATCCAAGTTGTTGTTGTTGTTAATTAAAATTTAAGAGGTATTCATTCCACATTTACAGAATTCTGTCACTTTGGAGACCCCAGTTTATTCCAAAATAAGTCCTGTAGCTCAGTGGTTAGAGCACTCGCTTTGCAAGTGAGAGACCTGAGTTCAATTCCAGACAGGGCGAAACCTTGGGCAAGTTTCCTTAATCCACATGCCTAATAATAATCCCTCCAAAAACCAAAAACAATAATTAAATTGGTCATTTTGTGTGTTTGTGGGACATTGCTGTGCGCAATTGGCTGCCGCGTTCGCCCACAAATATACAGTCAATTCACTTTACAGTGTGTTCTGTGAAGCGCTTTGGGACGTCCTCCCGACGTGAAAAGCGCTATATCAAATGCAAGGATTATTATTATTATTATTAAAATCATGCAGTTAGTAACAATTCAGGCTCATAATCTGAAGAAGGAAATAATGCAAGCATTCTTTGGATCAGAGCATTCTTGGATCAAAGTTGAGCACAGTAAATTCAAATTGAATTGATGCTTTCTCTATATCAAGTGTCAGTCAGTGATACATCGCCTAGTTCTTGATACAGGACCATTTTGTTCTGACAGAGTAGAATTATTATAAAACAGTACATTAGGGATGAGCAACCCATCTTTTTTCTGAATTTTCAGGTCAGTTGAAACCCGATTGATCTCAGCTCATTAAAGTCAAACCCAGATTCAAACTGCTGAATAACAGATAAATTCTCTAGTGAAACGAAAGCATGGTACAGATCCTACTTCTGAGTAATCTCCCACCTCATGAAACAGATCAACAATGAAACTATTTTAATTCAGTTGCAATGGTACTTATTTTCAGCAACTACGTTTCACAATCATAAATATTATTAGTTTTAAGATATTTCCTAATCTTAGTGTAAAAATAATGATTGAAGACCTTCCTGTGGAGTCCTGTAGCTCAGTGGTTAGAGCACTTGCTTTGTAAGTGAGAGACCTGAGTTCAATTCCAGCAGGGCGAAACCTTGGGCAAGTTTCCTTACTCCACACGCCTAATAATAATCCCTCCAAAAAAACAAAACAATAATAAATTGGTCATTTTCAATCTACGACTGTTTGTGGGACATTGCTGTGCGCAATTGGCTGCCGCGTTCACCCACAAATATACAGTCAATTCACTTTACAGAATATTCTGTGAGGCTCGTTGAGACGTCGAGAAGACGTGAAAAGCGCTATATCAAATGCAAGGATTATTATTATTATAGTGCAATGATTGTTTTGTAGGTAATTGAATTATGTAGCATGTGCCAATGATGTTCCACAAGAACAACTTGTATTTATTTAGCACTCAAAGTGCTTCACAGAGATGTAGGCACAGTAAAAGAGGTAAGTTTTCATAAGACAAAGAGGGTGAGGCAGAGGGATTTTGGGATGGAGTTCCACAAGCTAGGGGCATAGTTGTCAAAGGCACAAATAGCAGTGAGCTGAATGACCAAATGTAATCTGTTTTTGATAAATTTGGATTAGAGGAAAATATTGGCTAAACGTCTGCAGATAATTTTCTTTGAATGTGATCTCTCGCATCCACCTGAACAGGGCCTCAGTTTAATGTCTAATTCAAAATAACCACTTCAACAATATAGCACTCCCTTGTTTAGTAGAGTGCAAACGTATGTTCTCCTCAAACTTATTATCCTCATATGGGGCTTGAATTCACAACCTTCTGACCCAGATCCAAGAATGCTATCTATTTAGTCATTCTGATACAAGTTAAGTTTCTTTTTTAAAAAAAAATCATTTAATAGAAAGATAGTCAGCTTACTATTTGCAAAAAAACATTGAGTTTCGATTTGTGAACTAAATTATCGATGATTTTACTTATCTTTACCTTCCATATCAATGTAAGAACCATCCATCTATTACCTAAACTTTCAAGGACCCTAACACTGATGGATCTTAAACCTTTCAGACTAACTCCTACCTCTTTTAGTAGTGTTGCTATTGCAGCTTGGAACACATTATGTCAGTGCTGGGTTAGAGCCACAAGAGTACTGGATCACAAATTAAGAAAATCTAACTCAAAAGAGACTCTATTAATCTTACAAAAGCTTTTTGTTTGTTGACCTAGATGATTTTAATCTGTTAAAAATGACTTATATAACTGACATATTTCCATTGAGCTATACTATTCCCTGCAGTTTCTTTGACATTTTAGGTTGAAGTCTTGTACAAAATACTGTTGACCTGTTTTCATTTTTTCAAAATACCACTTCAAAAGAAAAGAATAATGCATCTTTCATATGGTTGGCAAGAGGTCAGAAATTATATAAAGCTCATATCCATTGCCCTTCTGTGACTGTCATAATTATAACTATAGTAACATGTTCACCATTGCTCTCAGTCTAGAAAAATCACTTGAAGAAGAAAACCATAGTATTAATATTGCAAGAGTCTTGAGATCTAGTGTCTTGGGCAGGAAAATCCATGTGACACTGACTCAAAAGAATTATTTTCGGACCCCAAATATTCTCATGGATGAGCAGGATATACATAATGGTCCCTGCAAAAGATAATCCCAGGCACTGTTTTGTGGGCATGTTACCATGCAGTTTTTACAATTTGAGCACTTTTTTGCTCCCCAGTGCCTCATTTGCACTGGTGGGATTATATTATCCAATAAGTAGCAGCGCCATCCAGCCTTATGCACAAACCTGTCACCTAGATGGATACTTTAGTTTCACAGTACGAGTTCAGATTCACAGAGAGCATTGGTTTCTTGATCAGTATGCCACATCCAGCTGTTAAACTACATCTGCTTTAGACGTCCTACTTAGGTGATCTCACTGGAGACTGTTGTTGAAACATGCCCCCAACCTCTAGCTTTACCACAGCTTCAAGATTGAGCTTCAAGATTGCAGTGCTCCATATATTGCTTCTGTAGCTAAAAATAGGTTATTGGCTTTTCTCAACTATTATCCTGTGAACTAGCTTCTCCCTAATAAAGAGTCACTAATTCTTCCCTGCGGGAGACATGCAGACAACTCACCTAAGGCTGAAGCTCCCTGTTTGAACTGAATCCATAATCTAACATTTAAGCAAAACAGATCCAAAGCGCTACTGTGTTACATCATGCTGCTTTTTCAGCACTAGCTCTACAATTTTTTTATGCATTTAATTGTTCGGGTAGTATGCTCCCATGGCACTGTTAGAAAAGAGAAGGGGAGTTTCTCCTGATGTCTTAGTCAACAATGGCCCAAATAGATTGGTCATTTATTTGGCTGTTTGGAGGACCTTGCTCTGCCAAAACACCTGCTAATAAATAGTAATTTTATATGAAGTGTTTTGTGTTTTATAATTCTTGCAGTTGATTTTTTTAAAATTATAGACACTATATCAATTATGCCAGCATTCCACTGGTTGGTGAGTCAGTGACTAGAGAACATCAATTTAAGATAGTAAGCAAACAAGCAAAGGTTAGGATAATCTGTTTCACACACGTAATAGTTAGGATATGGAATGCCCCGCCAGTAGAGGTGATTGAGGCAGAATCCATGTTAGCTTTCAAAAGGGAATACATAAAAGTGAATAAACTACAGTGGTATGAGAAACGGCAGGTGAATGGGACTGGAAAAAATCTTGAAAGAGCCAGCACAGACACAATGGGCTGAATGGCCTTCTCCTGTGCTTTAAATTTCTATGGCTCTATTAGAAGCAGCAATTAGACAGTGGCTCCAGATCAAGAAAGAGAATCATACCCACTAATTTTGAAATGGCATCAAGATGACAGCAACAATTTTGAAAACAAGCTTTGTACCAAACCATTGTGCCAAAGTTATTGGAAGATGGGTCGGAATGGGAGTTCACTTCAAAACCTGTTGATAGTTAAAGATAGATTTGGATCATAACTTTCAGTGATGGGATAATTATCACTTTAAATTTATTGCCAATGATAATTATGACATTGAAGGATGCATTTTCATCCAAATAAATTTCAGGCAGCTGACAATCATGTTTATCCTTCTAATTTCCCGTGAGATTCCTTTGATGTTTCTACGTCTAATCCTGAATACTTATAGTTGACTGGAATGTGTCTTAATTTAGTTTTCAAATCTTATACTTATAATTCAATGCGAGCAAACGTTGCATGATTTTCTTTTCTTGTTCAGAGTCAATGACTGCATTCTACAAGTCAATGAAGCGGATGTTTCTGAAGTGTCCCACAGCAGAGCTGTAGAGGCCTTGAAAGAAGCTGGTTGCATTGTACAACTATATGTACGTAGAAGAAGGCCGGTTTTGGAGACCATAGTAGAATTAAAACTTATGAAAGGACCTAAAGGTAATACCTATTTAAGTTTATAATGAATGCACATAGTATATCCATTGAAAAACTTTAATATGCTTTGTTTTTTTTTAAAAGTCTATCCCTAACCATCTTTTACAGGTGAAATATACAGATATAATGTACCACATTTCATTATAGAAAACTTATGTTTTTGTTGGCATGCAGATGGATATCTTAATTTATATATTTGGTTCTGATGCTTGTAAGGATTGTAAATATCACTTGTAAATCCAAAATGTTTATTGGACTTTTACCAATTATTCATTGTAATTATCACTCCTGGGAGGATGGATTATTTCTAACAAAAAACATACCAGAAAGTACACTTATCACTGCAATGAGGTTGAGCCATATAACGTGATATAGCTAGAGTTTCAAAGGCATCTAACAGAAGTATGACATGAAACCCCATCTTCACAAACTGAGAACACCGGGTATCGAGGGAAAGACATGATTCACAATTAACTGAAGGAAAGGAAGTAGTTGGTCATTGATAAGGGAGCTAGGTCAAATTTTGGGCAGGTATTAAGCGGGTTGTTTCAGGATACAGGGACATGTATTTTTCATTGTGTATAGTTATGATCTAGATTCACAGACCCAGTGGAAAATAGTCAAGTTTGCAGAAGAAATGAAGTTGGGTGGAACTGTGGTATCAGTGGAGGCAGCAGAGGTTTTGCAAAGAAAACTTGACAGGGTACTCATATGGATTTATAGCTAGAAAATTAAGTTCAATTCAATACATATAAGTACATATACTACTATCAAAGATAATACTTTTGGATTCACAAATGTAATTTCAAGACAGACACTAGGAAGTTTTCCTTTAGCCATAGGGTAATTAATGACTGGAAAATGTTGTCATTAGGAAGGATGATTGAGGCCATGATGCTAGACTCATTTTTTTAAGAGATGGCAGGGGCTATTTCAGAAGGATGAGATTAGATTGGCCAAAACGCCTTCTCCATTAGAACAATGCTAGTGTTTTTTTCCTCTAACTTGATAAGCTTGGTGCTGCTGTTAGATACCTAATATAATGTGCAAGCTCCAAATTGTTCAATCATCTTGTAGTGCCAATAATATTGTTATCATCTAACACAGCAATGTTTTATTGTGCTTTTATCAAAATTGATACACCTTTCACTCATTACTATTCTTATTATGGAAAAAAAATCAAATGCCCCCTCTGTTGGTTGGTGTTGGCTATTTAGCTCAACATTTATTTCAGCAATGTAAATATCATGTTACATGATTATTTGGAACTTTATTATTTTTAATATTCTTCAGGCAACAAATATTAAAATTTATAAATGGCATTTTCAGGGTAATGTTTATAAATATTCCCCATATCTGCGATAAATGTTTGAGTGATTTTTTTATGGGCAAAGATAGGATAGGACTCCATTGGCATTGTGTATAACAGCTCAGACAGGAACCCTCTAGAGAATAAATTCAACAAATGTTTCAGTCCTCCTTTGAATACAGATAACCTTAGCTTGAATGTTTTGATGTACGTTACCTGCTTATTGTGGTGCTTTAGTAGTTTTGTAAATGATATAACAGGAGAACAGGACGTCCTCCTGACGTGAAAGGCGCTTTATAAATGGAATCTTGTTGTTGTTGTTGAGAACATCTGAAGGGAGAGATTCATTGATTCATATAACAATGATGCCATCTGCCATTAGAATAGTTTGAACTGAATGGAAGAATTTATTGGATATGATTACATAATGAATTCCTCCCAGCTAGAATCAACTTTTGTCATCATCCAGTATGTATTGGGTTTACATGCATTATGAATCATTTACTCGTGATCATCGGCATTAGAAGTTTCCTTTTTATTAGCTGTTGATAAATATTTGAAGCTCTAACCTGCTATAAGGTAAGATTGGTATTGGGGCTACAGAATAAACCGCAGGGTGTTAGCTGCACATTGTTAGTACTGCTCTAATCTCGGTCACAAAACTGAAAGTATTGTTATTGGATTTTTGACTTTCTACACGACAAAACCATACATTGCATGTTTCACCATAAGTTGCTCATCACCACCTGCTTGTCCCATTTCCTTCCCCTCTCTCCCCCCCCCCCCCCCCCCCCCACGCCCCACCCCATGACCAGTGATAATTATTGCATAATACCTTACAATTTTCACCCTAATGTGATTTAGTCCTTTGAATGAGATGTATATCTGTTCAGGTGGATGTTTAAGAACATTGCTGTGTGCAAATTGGCTGCCATGTTTACCTTCAAAATACACCGCAGTGAATCCTGTGAAGTGCTTTGAAGCGTACTCCCAACATGATAAGGCGCAATATCAAATGCAGGGATCATCAGCATCATCATTTAACATTTATTTATTTTATAAAGCATTTATTTTCCATGTCATAGAACAAAAGTGGTTATGGAAAGTTTTAAGGAGCTGTAGGAGAAAAAAGAGAATTGATATGAATGGAGTTACAGATAAATCTACATAAATTCTATGGTTATCACTGTCAACATTGTCTCTTTTGTAGGATTAGGGTTCAGTATTGCTGGAGGTGTGGGGAACCAGCACATTCCAGGTGACAACAGCATCTATGTAACAAAAATAATTGATGGAGGAGCAGCACAGAAAGATGGGAGGTTGCAGGTTGGAGACAGACTCCTTATGGTGAGAATGATTGCATGCTGTTCATCCTTGTTGTATTTTGAAGAGCCTTTAATTTGGCAGCAAGCTGCAACACAATTAATATAAAGTATAATTGTTAATAATATGGTAATGAATCCCAAGTAAATTTTATGGTACCTTCCAAGTTACCCATTGGGGCTTTTCACTTTTTACTTGCAGGGTTGGCGATATATCTATTTCTCATGTTTCAGTGATGATACAGCCAGGCTGGTCAATGATTAACAGTGCATTGGATTATTCTGGACCTCTTTGGCTTAGGTACCATATGTACTTGAGATCAATTCACACCAGGAAGTGCTTACTTACCTCCCATGCAAGGTTATATTTTACACATAGTACTCATTTTATGAAGTGTAAAGGGCTAAGTTAAACTGTCAGAACCTTCAAAATAAGATGCTCCCAAACCCAGTGCTCAAACAAATGAAGTATCTGGGAAGAATTTAAGCATTTAGCATTACCAAACTGATGTGTTACGATACATAGTCGAAGTTAGATTGTTTGTGCTCATAAATGATATCCATTAATGGTCATTTGGATATTCTTACTATGTGTGCATTTGTGCTGAATGCAGGGAGACTATTCTTCATTGGGCATCTGAGCCTGAACCTGTCGTTACTCAATGTCCACACCTGTGCTGTCCAATTGGAATTCTGTATTGTGATAAGGCGTTAGAACCTTTGACTATTTTTGTCCTGCACTGGCTCAAGGACATTGAAGCCAAACCAATGCCACTCCAGGCTGGAACCAGATATCTCACCCCAGACTTCGAATCAAGCCTTCCTGGTCAATATGTTTCAAAACAAAAGCAGTCGCTACATTTCCTCATTGCACCATCAGAGGGAGTCCAGAAGTTGGATGTACTTTTGAGCATGTTTTGAAAACTTCTGGTGCAATGATTACCTTTGTGGCCCACATTTATTGGACCTGCATTATACTTATAAGGAAAATCTACCATTTGTTTGTGTACATAAGAACCAAAAGTTCAGCAAAGCACCATAGATTTGAAATTGTGGTTAACAAGAGAACCAAATTTCAATGCTGAATACATCTGTGGAAATAGTCACTTGATATGTATCTTTTTAAAGGTAAACAACTACAGTTTGGAAGAGGTAGCACACGAGGAGGCTGTAGCAGTGTTGAAAAACACATCCGATGTGGTCTATATTAAAGTTGCCAAACCTACTAGTGTTTACATAAATGACCCTTATGGACCACCAGATATCACACATCGTAAGTAACCATTTTTACTTTGAATCATAAACTTGTGTTTTTAGAAGATGTTACAGTTTTTGTGGTTTGTAGTTTAACAGCTAAAGATCATCCCTCTTGTGGACAGGTTTGGACACGTGTGCATGCAGTTAATATTAGAAATTATGTTTGACAGCATTAATACAGGCTTATCATATTTGTCGGTGCTTGGCTCACAAAATATACACTCAATTCACTTGACAGCATAATCTGTGAAGTGCTTTGAGACGTCTCAAAGACGTGATAAGGTGCTATATCAAATGCAAGAGTTATTATTATTATTATTTATTATATGGAAATTGAACTAAACAACTTGTACCATGACCCAGCCACTTAGAAATATGATCATGTGTGTCTGGCTGAATGAAGAAGTGAGATCCACAGCAGAAATGTTATCAAATGCAGGAATTAACCATGACCAAACTGCTTGACATATCTAAAGTCTGGCTGTGTTTAGAGTGTAGATCTTCAGTTAGATTGTTTTATTTCAGGAAGAAAGTCTTACCGCTGATGTACAACAGATGTGCAAATATTATTAGATGCGCCTGTTTTGTTCAGTCAGCAACATACTTGTAATCACCTCATTTTGCAGATGCCTTTTGCCTTGTCAGCTCAGCATTTTCCGAGGTGTAAGTTGCTTTCAGTAAGGCATTGGATTTTTTATCTCAATCCATGCTCATGGAGCTTGTCTCCAGATGTAAAAAGACAAACAACTGGTTGCTTTCTGGAATCTATTTAACGGACAATGTAAACTTCCATGACCTGTTGATTTTCTGATTTGCTCCATGCAGCCACACTTAACAATGAGTCTGATAACAATGCAGAGAGCAAGTGTTTATCTGCTTAATTTTTTTAATGAGTAAAGATAAACTCTGTCTAATGTTGAATTCCTGTTATTTCCTGGACTGTGTCTCTCTATAGACAAGGAATTTGCACCCAGACTCATGCCAGTCAGTGCTAGTCGGAACCAAATGCTATGAGATACACAAAAATGGCCTGGGGTGAACAGATCAATTTTCTTTCCCTACAGGGAAATAGCTACTTGTTTGCCTTTTCCCCATGGTGAATGTGGCTGAGTTGCTGGTAACTCAGGTCATTTTGTAGAGATGTGTCTGGGTGCTCCAGTCAATGTGTTACCACTCTGATTCACATTCAAGTGCTACTGAAAATCTTTGTGTCATTCTGAACTGTTTCATATGCCTCACTGGATCACATAGCATAAGCACTAACCAGATGCCATAATTATTTGATTAAATAAAATTCATAGCATTGACCAGCCATTCCATCTCAAATGTTGATCCTTTGCTAAATTGAAACAAATGCATTATGCTAGTGGTGCGAAAAAACAGCTGCCTACTAATCTAAATAAAATCTGCTGTCGTTAGTCTTTTGCACCACCTTGCCAACATAGTCCATCATGGACAATGTGCAAATTAATTTCTTGAAATAGAAACAGTTGATTTTCAATTTCCCACAGGATCCATCTGCCAAGATGGTGTTCAGGATGGCTTTAATCAGACACCAAAGTATTCACGTTTCTGTTTCTTTTCGCCATCCCTTTGGCAAGGGCAATATAGTGGTGGTCTAATGCATTTTTCCATATAATCCAGTGAGCCATAATCACCTTAGAATAGATTATCACATAATGATTATGAGATTATTTGCCACATTTTTGAGAACCCTTGCATAGTAATAATAGAGGAATCCTTGGATTTGACATAGCATGTTTCACTTCAGGAGAAAGTCTCCAAGCACATGACAGGATTCACTGTTTAGTGACTGTGTATTTTTGTAGGCAATCATGGCAGCCAATTTTTGCACAGTAATGTCCCTCACAAGAAATAAATTGTTTCTCTTTCAAAGTTAAGTGCAGCCAGGTAAATTTCGAAAAACAAAAGTTCAATAAATATTGACAATCAGACAAAACACTGTTGACTAGTTTGGTTTGACTTGTATCATATCTACAGCCATTCCTACAGCAGATAATTGGATTTTGTTCTGGTGTGCCAATAATTCTGCCTAGCTGATATCTTGAACATTTGTGTTATATGAAACTGAATGCAATAAAATGTGTTCATTTCCAAACTCTCATGTAAACATTTTCAGCTTTGAAATTTGAAAGATTGAAAAACATTTATAAATTTGTGGATATCCTTAGAATTGAGGACAATTTTGTTGAAATGTTGACATTTATCAACATTACTGCATGGCAAGTTTCAGTAAATTGGGAATATGAAGTAATACCACTGCTCAATTGTCCACACATTACAGAATATCCTAAGGAGAAACTGCTGCCTCATGTGCTATTCAGCTGGCTGTACTTAGTGACTAAATTTCTTCTGTCTAGCAAATCTGATTTTTAAACGTTTTTAGAATTGGTGATAAAATTAATTTCTGAACAATAATCCCCTCCTTCTCCCCCAAAAAGGGAAGATATAGCAGCCATAAAATGCAGTGCATTGATTCATGTTTTGATGTAACAATCCTTGCATTTGACATAGCGCTTTTCACGTCTTCTAGCTTCACAGAATATACTGTAAAGTGACTTGACTGTATTTTTGTGGGCAAAACCAGCAGCCAATTGTGCACAGCCGTATTCCACAAACAGTTGTAGATTGAAGTGACCAATTTATTATTGTTTTTTTTCTTGAGGGATTGTAGTCATCTTCTTGCAAATCACTGTAAAACATGAAGCATATCAGGATTAAACTAGTGTGATATTGATAAATCTGTACCTAAACAGCCTGAAAATATTTTCTCATTAATTTGCTGGTTCAAATTAGTACAGCAATAAAACTAATACTTCTTTGTAATATGAATCACACAATATTGGGTAAGCTCACAAATGAGGTTTCACTTCAACTTCCAGAATATTGATACTTTAGGAAATAATCTCTGTGTGACTCCAGGATTTGCAGCATCTTTCGTTTGTTTATATATTGCAGGAGTGCAAATTGACCTGATTTGAAAGCCACCAGTTCAGGATGGAGTACTATTGCACTGGCTCAGTCTCAGTTTAATTTATATGTTTTGTGATGAATTGCCGCAATGTGCAATGAAACGCACATTAAAACATTAGAGTTTGTTGGGCAGCAAATAAATAGTTTAACTGCTGACATTTATATTTGTTGATTTAATGTTAGATTTTTNAAAAAGGTATTTGAAAAGGACAAATTTGCAGGCCAATGGGGTAAGAACAGGGAGTGGGACTAGTTGGTAGCTCTTTCAAAGAGCTGGAACAGGCACAATGGGCCAAATGGCCTCCTTCTGTGCTGTACGATTTTATGATTCTATGATTTAGGCCTTGTGAATTAATGATGTTGGTGCACTGCATTAGAGACATGTTCCAAGGACATTCCAGGAACTGAAAGTCAATGAATGTGTTATCAAAATAATTTTGTAAGATCGCTTTCTGTGATCTTGCATCTGTTCAGTGCAGTTTGGGTATCTATTTATTTTTGGCTTTCTTCTTCTAACATGGCTCTCACGTAGTTATCCCATGTTTGCTTTATTAAGTTGTGGTGACCTCGTTGATCAAGGAAAACAGAATATAGTTTTATATTTACCCTTTCTTAATTAGTCCTGACAGTGTGAAAATTAAAATGTTAATTAATTTTCACTGTGCTGAAAGAATTTCAAAGAGTGAATTGACCCAGTTTACAAAGTCAAGTGCAAAGCACAGCTATGGCCTACTTAATGCTATTATTTTATTTGTCTTTTTTTTTAAATGTAAAAAGTTTGACTGTATGTTTCACTAATATCCTAAAAATCTATTCTGTTTTCTTGAGTCGCCTGATAATGACACTCGTTTTAACAAATGATCTTAATAAGAGCAACCGATGTTAAGACCACAGTTTAATCTATTCTTTTCTCTTATTTCCTGCTCTTTAACACTATAATTCCCCAAAAGGAGATCTGTTGAAAACTAACAGGAATTTAAATATTGGATTGTACATTTAATTGAATGCCCCTGAAGTACTGAACATTGCTGTACTTTGAATTTGAAACCGTATACCCAGGCTCTTGACTAATGCCAAGGTTAATGGGTAGGGGAGATAGAATTACAAATACAGTACCAAATTCCATTTGCACAGCGCCTTTCACGTTGGGAGGGATGGAGATTCAAGTGGAGTCCAAATACCAATGGTCTGTTTCTGTGATTCTGTAATTCTACGCAATTTTTCAAAATTGGGATAAATAATCCTAAAGAGATGTTTAAGATCTTGAGAATAACTCATTAGTTTTATGGACCAGTTTTGGTGCTCTCCACAAATTCAATGGACTGTTCCAGTGACATAACACAAATTAAATGATTTTTGAAAATGCAAGTAAAGTATCGCCACTACCCAATCATTTGAATTTTTAAAAAAATTCCAATAGATTTGTGTTGACTAGTCCTTATGGTCATGTTGCTCTTCAGATGAACAATGAAAGCATCCTGTGTAAACTTCTCGAACATCTGGCCAATACACAGTTACATTAAAGTGGCCATACCTTCCTGTCTATGTCTAATTCATTTTTTTTAACCAAAAAAGCTTTGGTGCAGCTTCCATGTTTTATGAAGCTCTTAAAATATTGGTGTACAGAAGAGTATTGGACCAAATGATGGACTAAATATCTCTCTTCATTCCATGACATCTTGCAGCTCAGTGCACTCTACGATTCACTTTTAAAAAAGCAATAGCAGGTAAGCCAATTAATTTGGGGGCTTGCTGGATCTCTAGCTGTGAACACTTGCACTGGTTACATTTCTGGTTGTGATCTACTCGCCTCGATGTTCAAATTGACTTGGAACAACAAATTGCTTTGATATAACGTCTTTCATGTATGATGAATGTTTCAAGGAACTTCACAGAAAAAATAGGGAGAGGAAAGAAAATTGTATGTTGTAACCAAAAGCATGGTGAAAGAGAAAATTCTTAAGAGAGTTTTCAAGGCATGGAGAAAAGGACTTTAAAAAAAATTCATAGCTGCCCTCAAAAAATGCAGCAGTACAGAAGAGTATTGGACCAAATGATGGACTAAACATCTCTTTTCATTCCATGACATCTTGCAGCTCAGTGCAGCCAATTATTTTTCATTTTAATTAATTGCAACTGGATACACCGAAAAAAAATGTTTATTAAGTTTACTTATTTAACCTTTTCAAAAAAATAAAGTTTGTTTCTTTCTTTTTAGCTTATTCCCCACCAATGGAGAATCACATCATCTCCCCAGGGAATAATGAAACACTCGATTATAAGAACTCACTGCCACGAATCTCACCAGGAAGATATTCTCCTCTTCCAAAACATATGCTTGGAGAAGATGACATCAACAGGTAATTTCTCAGTGAACAGCACTACTTTGGTTACTGTTTTTATTTGAAGCAATTTTTTAAATCGGTAAAAAAGCTTGTTACAGTGTGAATCTGTTTTAAGGCTCCCCTTATTTCAGGTGGGCTCCTTATACACCCCATTCCACTGTTATTTTTGTTCTGCCTTTGCTTTGTATTCGTTGCATGGTACTTTCGTTCCACATAATTTGCTCACCAGGAGCGGTGTGTTGCTTTCTGAAGGATGTGTCTTGTGTCTGTTCACAGAAGAATCCTCTGATTAACCACTCATGCTTATTGTATGATGCATCTTGCTTGTCTGAGAACATCCCGTAAGAAGGAGTTAATGTAGAACGCTACAGGGATTGAAGGAGAGAAGCCCTCAGCTTCGTTTATCAAGAATGTGCCTTTTGATAAGAAAGAAATATTTTGTTTAGCATTCCGTGCTCGGACATCTGCCAGTTTGAGCATTATTGGTAAACATGCACCACAACATCGGGCCTACAAGCTTTAACCAAGGCTGTATGATTGGTCTGGGCTTCACAATAACCAAGAAGCAATCAGGTATAAAATAGAGAGTTCAGTCAATGAGACACAGATTGGACGACTCCCCATACTGCCTGCTTCTCTCCCAGGATAGGTAACTGATCAATACTTAAATTGTCTAATAACCTGGTTGCTTCCATTATCACATCTTGCGATAGTGCGTCTTTGCTCTTTGTGTAATCATTGACTGAAACTATAAAAAGGAAACAATTGTTTCACATCCAAATTGTGCGCACACTACATCATCATTAATAAAAGTAAAGTTTCCTTACAATCTGTTCTTTGTATGAATAGTTTCATTTAGTGTTTTTATAAATGCATATTCTGATGGGGGAATATGTGTGTGGACAGCGGGGTTTGTAAAAAACTGAATAGCCGCAATCTAACCTTTAATCTTTGTACCGATACAGTCTGAATTAACAGAACTGTATGTAGGGTTTTTATTATGTCAGTCAGGTATCTGACACTTGTTGAAATGAATTACCATGTTTAAGAGTATCCAAACCAGACTGAGAGTTTCACATATGTATGCCACCTACATGTGGAAATGCCTCTGTGTCTGGCATGGAGCACACACTCTTTGCCTGGAGCAAAGTGCTTTTTTATCTAATTTCAAAGAGTGTTAGGTGCAGATTGGCAAGAGCCAAGCGTTGGGGATACTGCTGTAAATTTAACCAGCTAAACCAACATAGCTTGCCATTCAAAACAATGTCTGTCAGTGCTTGTCCAGTTCTGACCACCCTTTGGGGCTTTGATTTGCAAAGGTAACAGGAGTTATGCAGGTAATATTAAATAGCTAATATTCATAGTGCAGTGATTTTTTTTTACTTTTGTAGCTGCAGTAGTAGTTTAACACCATGTTAAAAGTTAATTTTTTCAAGGAATTTTGCTCAAATGTTGTAAATACTTATCCATAACATCATCAGCATTATAATTATCATAACTTAGCCAACTCCCTGCCCACAGTGACTGGTCTGGTCTGCCCTTCCAGTTCCTGCCGATGAGCCAGGCAGTGCTGTCATCAGCAGTGCCCTGGAATACTGCGGACCCGCCTGGCTCAGGAACCGGACTACTGAGACCGCCACAGACGGCTGGCTTGATTCCGACATGCCGTTGCCAGCCCGTTCAGCTCCAAGGAGACTTCACTTACTAAGGAGTTCATCTGGTGAAGCAGCACTCAAATGCTGATCCAAGATGCCACACCTTTTTCAAATCGGCTTTAGGAGTAAACCGTTACACTCTAATCACATGATAAGGGTTAGATCCACAGCTTATCTTTAGGAGTGAAAATCAACATTTCAAAGTGTATTTCATGCCACATTAAGTAATTAATGAATATGTTATGAAATATCTCATTTTTACCCCAGTATTATTACCCTGCTACCTTCAGTGCTGGCTGGTAATGTAGATGTGGATGTGAAGCTGGCTTGCACCCGAAAACTTGAGTAGAACATGAGTTTCTTCTGTACTTGTGTGCAGCTCTGCTTGCGACATTTTTCTTCCCTGAGTTGCCCTTCTGTGATTGTAAGATAAGTAAAACTGCTCTGATCCTACCTGAACAGTACTTAGAGTAATCCTCCTGTTTCCCAGTGTAAGTGGTCCTGAGGTACTGTAATGTTATAAATTATATGATGTTGTCACAAATTGGCAAATACTTTCTCGAAAAGCAGTTTAGTATTTTAAAAGTATTAGTTTAATACTTTTTTGTATGCGTTTCACCTACAAAATATGCAGTCAATTCACTTTACAGTATACTCTGTGAAGTGCTTTGATACATCTCGAAGACCTGATAAGGCACTATATCAAATGCAAGGACTATTTTATTATTTAAATGGCCACAACAACTCTCAGTCGTATAGTACCCTTCACAGAGTGCTTCATAGAGACTCGGATGGCACTGAGTAAGCTAGTGGGAGGTGGCTTTAGGCGCACTAAATGGATGGAATGCTGATTTGTGTCACCAACGGCCTGATAATTTCCACTGTCTTTCAACAATCAAAATATTTAACTTAAAATGTAAGATTGTACAGAATTTTGGTATATTCTTAAACTCAATCTTAATAGTGATTTTAGTCTGAAATTGACATCTACCATCTCATCTGTGAGCATCAACAAGAACTTGCATTTATATAGCATCTTTCAGGCAGTGTAGCGTTTCAGAGCACTTAACAATGGCCGTGTTTGACGCTGAGCTGTGGAGAAAGAGGAAGTGTCAGTAAGAGAAATACGCCACATAGAAAAAAATAAAAATCAGGGAAGAAAGTTAACAATAGGAAGGAGAAAAGTCATTTTAATGATATCTTATATATAATAAGATTATTATGATTTTGAAAGATAAATAGCTGACTTGGTTCTTTTTTTACTGCAAACTCTATGGAGACTTAATTGGACAGTTTTACTACACATTTAGCAGTGGATCATCATATTCACAGGAAATTTCTGCCAAACGTGCAATGTATAGTTTGAAATAGAATACATCATTCTGTAGCTGTGCGCCATACACCACCTGCAGAAGAAGGTGGTTTCAAGAATATGAAGTTCTGTTAGTAGTGCTTTGCATAATAAGTGTAGCGGGTGCTAATCATGCTGGACTCCCTTTTCCTGCCCCAATCCCCTTTCATCGTTCTTCAGAATGGAGCATTTTTAACATTAGTAAAGGACGATTGCGTGACCGGCTCTTTAATAATGTTGGCAAACAAAGACCCAGGTTGTTTGCTTTTTTTCAGAAGCACAAAACCCTGCTTCCTGCTCCCCATCACTATACTGCTGGGAGCAAAGCTGCTTCACTCTGGCACCATAAGTGGAGTCTAGAATAGTTTAGGATGTAATATGGCAAATATTGTTTCTTGTCATGATGTTTGATAGATAGAAATAGCTTTAAAGGGCAGTGATTAAAAATATATTTAAATGTCTTTAGAATGAAGCAATAATTATTATTTTGCATAAATAATATGAGCTATAAATATAGTGAAATGTTCATAAAATACTGCAGTAGTTGTCCTGGAAACCATTTGACAGATTTAGAAGTAGATGCTAAAGTGTCCTTTGGGGGAAACATTGCAGATTTTTTTTGGGGGGGACATGAAAGCAGTGGAACCTAATAATTTATTTAACAGAAATTACTGCCACGGGCTGTGAATGATAATGAGGGAGAAGAAAATCAGATGGTGGAGAATGTAAAATGTACTCTGAATGCTAATTGCCTGTTGATATAATGACGTTAAACTTAACAAGCTGTAGATATATACTGCTGTGAAGCATAATTCAACATCTAACTATTACAATGAGATGGTGTTTGAAAGTCCAAATGGATTTGTGGAAAACAAAAATAAAAACGGAATTTCCAACAGGTACTGTGAGCAGATAGCGCTCATTTTGGTTCTCTTAAAAATTCCTGTTAAAGACATTGTACAATACAAATTAAGTTTCTATTGCAGTGTGTGCTGGTCAGATTAGTTCAGAAACCTATCTTTAGGAATACTTGGATGATCAGAAACTTGACAATCTGAATGGTTAAATTTATGTTACAACTCTTTGGTGGTGAGTGAAGTGACAGAGGTTCTATAAGGTCAGCAGTTTCACAAGCTCTTCGCTGCCTCGATATGTAAAGAATAAACAATGGCTAGAACTGTTTTAAAAAATCTGAGTGTAGGCGGGACAGCATCCTAAACTGTACGTTAGAGATATTTTACACAGTATGCCTCAAAAATAACTATTACCAAGTATAGTTATTTTAAATGTTTACAAATTAATATTGCTTTTTGCCCTTTTCCATTGGAAAGTCACCAATGTTTCATAGTTTTGTTTTGTCTGCCAATTTGTGTTCTGATTAGATGAAAGGGTTTTGTTGAGGCACAACACTTTTATCTGTGAAATGTAGAGTATATTCTGTCAAGCCTTTGAATTCAAAAGCTTATCCTAAGTGGCTCCAATTAACCGACAAGTATCCTAGACAGATTGTGTCGATTTCAATCACGAATGGAATACATTTTTCCATCATCAGTGGTTTACTACTGAGTATTTTTGCAGGCCATAAATACTGTGTAAAATAGGATGACAGCAAATTTAACTATACAGTATTTCATTTCTATGACTATTTTAACAGCTTTCTATTTGGGTTTACAATAAACATGAATAAATATTTAAAGAACCATCATTGCCGCAGATAAAGCTTTATAGTGGTGCTTCTGCATAACTGAAGCAAATGATTTCTGCAACATACCACCACTTTGTTCATCATTTAGGCTGTAAAACAGAGAATGTTTTTAAAATAAAATTAAACGAAATGTGACTATACTGTGACATAAATGAGGGTAAAATGTGTGAGTTTTGAGAATGGGTTGTTCTACAAATTGAGCCTGCCCTAAACTAGAACAATCTGTACAATAGAACATCATTTATTCTCATGCCAACTATCTGGAAGCCTTCTTACCTGCATCATGTTCTGATGCAGACGTGAA